ATAACTTATTTATTTGTAAAAGTGGTAGAGGGTGTTTGTGCGGCCAATTACATTACAAACCACAGTAGAGGGCAAATTCTTCATCAGTATAGCGCTCCTTCTCATACTTCAACCTCCACATCAAAGTTCCCAAAAGTAAAGAAGATCAAGGTGCTCCAGGATTGGTCAGTCCAGTCACCAGACATGAACATTATTTAGCATGTCTGGGGTAAGATGGAGGAGGCATTGAAGAACTCTGGAAATCCTGCAAGAAGGCTTTCTTTGCCATTCCGAATGACTTTATTAATAAGTTACTTGAGTCATTGCAAAGATGTATGGATGTAGTCGTCAAATATTAATTATTTTTCCACTGCACTATGACTTTATACTTTTTATACGTTTAGCTGTGCCTTTACTGTATGAGCACTGTGCTACGTACGACAGATTGCACTATCATGTTTTTTCGTTTTCTTTTTCATTCTTTTATAACCTATTTTAACACATTTTAAATGTTTTTTTATCTGTTTTTAATCATTTTTATTGTCTGCATTTTATGTCCTAAACTTGTTTTTTTTTATTCCTGTTTATGTAAAGCACTTTGAATTGCCACTGTGTATGAAATGTGCTATATAAATAAACTTGCCTTGCCTTGCCTTGGCTTGCCTTTTCTACTCTACATTTTTTTTGTTAAGTGACAATACTTTTGTGTAAGCTAGATCTTTCTGTTCTAATTAAATCATTAAAAATCATGATTGTATTTTGATTTTGGTAAAATAAGCATAATCTATAGGCCTTTGCCTTTCATATAAGCCACTTCTGACACCAAATGATCAAAGAAGTCAAGTTATTATTTGTTGTTTCTAAAATTTGGATAGGCAACAAGACTTTTGTCAGGTAGTGTACTATTAATAGTGTATATATGACAACACCAACCTCATAAAAGTCTGATGAGGAGGAAACAGATAGAAACAGAATCTATTACCATTTACTTTTCTTCAGCTTGATCCAAACCCCTTTCTTCGGTTGGATCAACAAAACTTGTTTTCAAGAAATTTCCATAACCAATTGTAACCATTGATATATTATATATATATATATATTTTTTTTTTATTAACTATTATAATGGCAAATTATGTAAAGATCTGCACACATTTCATCAAGTTTAATTTTATGAGATTTTTTTTTCAATATAATCACACATTCTCTGTTGAGCTTGGCCAATCAGGTGCATTTACTGCAGATTAGTAACCACTAAAAACACTAGAGTTTTATTGAGTGCACAAACATTCACTGACCTAATTTTATACCCTCATAAATTCTATCATCATCATAAACAAAGGGCAGATGTGATGTAAGTAACAGTATATTTTTGCAAACCGATTGATTTTTTGGGAATCAGTTGGCAACACTGGAGCAATAGTGTTTGTCTGTGTAGCAGCCTAATTTGGACCTCTTGTCAAATGAATACCCTCTCATTGTGACTGTTTGCTGATTGCCTAGGGATTTTCAAATGAGTGTCTATAGGGAGCCACAAATCTTATAAATAATCTGTTTAATCTATATGCTTAAAACCACAAAACTCTTTAATAAGATTTGAAACAGCAACAATTTATAAAGAAATAAAAAATACATGTGTATACAGTTGAAGTCAGAATTATTTGCCCCCCTTTGAATTTTTTTCTTTTTCTTTTTAAAATATTTTCCAAATGATGTTTAACAGAGCAAGGAAGTTTTCACAAATTGTGAAGTGTTCAGATGCAAAAACCACTAAATGCCATTTGAATTTTTTTCCTAAAATGAGAATTTTTCACAGCCTCATATGTTTGTGCAATTTTTTTTTACTTTAAAAGCAATGAAAAGAACCTATTTGTCACTATAAACATACAATTACTGAGCCTACATACAGGAATCAGAGAAAGATACTAATTTTAAAAGAAACCATCAAACGACTTTTAGAGTTTTTGTTGCATCTAAACTCTTCATATACAGTTGAAGTCATAATTATTAGCCCCCCTCCCACCTTTTTTATAAGCTTCATCTTAGGTCAGACATTAAAATACACATAACATAGATACATATAGATATACGCACTGATACAATTCACCAAACAAGAAGTATATCACAATTATACACTAAATAAGTATATAATTAAATGTAAAATACCACATTTATACACAAAAATTCATTAATTTATTTTCTTGTCGGCTTAGTCCCTTTATTAATCTGGGGTCGCCACAGCAGAATTAACCGCCAACTTATCCAGCAAAATTTTACACAGCAGATGTCCTTCCAGCCATAACCCATCTCTGGGAAACATCCACACACACATTCACACTCACACTCATACACTACGGACAATTTAGCCTACCCAATTCACCTGTACCGCATGCCTTTGGACTGTGGGGGAAACCGGAGCACCCAGAGGAAACCCACACGAACACAAGGAGAACATGCAAACTCCACACAGAAACTGCAACTTAGCCGAGGTTCGAACCAGCGACCCAGTGACCTTCTTGCTGTGAAGCGACAGTACTACCTACTGCGCCACTGCTTCGCCCCTACACAAAAATATACATAATATAAATAAACAAATAAAAATAAATACATAATGCAAATAAAAGAATTGTAAAAAGGCAATTAAGATAAAAGTGTCTCCTTAATTTTTTTTTATAAAAGGACTCCAGAATTTCTGGAACTGTTCTGCTTTTGTTTTATTACACACCGAATCTTTTCCATCTGAAGAGCATGTAGGAAATCAAAATCCTTTGCCGATAAGAAGGGGGAGCTGCTGACTTTCAATTCATAAAAATAAGTTGTCTAGCCAGTAAGGTTACAATGGCTACACTATTGGCCTGTAATGAATTTAATTCAGCAAATTCTGGCAGGATCTATTGACAATAAAAAAAACAGTCGAAAAACACCTGAAGATTTTCCCCCAAAAATCAGACAGTTTTAAACACGACCAGAAAGCATGTAACAGTGTGGCTGGTTCGGTTATACAGCGAAGGCAATTTGGGTCAAGATCAGAGAAAAGTTTATTAATTATTAGCCGCCTTTTGAATTTATTATTATTTTTTTAAATATCTAGTCAAATAATACTTACTGTCATCATGGCAAAGATAAAATAATTCAGTTGTTAGTGATGAGTTATTAAAACTATTATGTTCAGAAATGTGTTGAAAATATCTCTGCATTAAACAGAAATTGGGGAAAAAGTAAACAGGGCAGCTAATAATTCTGACTTCAATTGTATCTATCATTTAATTTGTCACTTTTAGGGGGCACACTTTAACATACATCACAAAATGCTTAAGCAGTTATTCACTCTGCAGTCTTCATAAAAATGTATTTATTCATTTTCTTTCCGGCTTAGTCGCTTTATTAATCTAGGGTTTGCCACAGTGCCCTTCCTGCTGCAACCGATCACTGGGAAACACCCACACAACACAGACAATTTAGCTTACCCAATTCACCTGTACCACATGTTTTTGGCTTAGGAAACCCTCGCCAACATGGGAAAACCATGTAAACTTCCCAAAGAAATGCCAACTGACCCAGCCAGGGCTCAAACCAGCGACCTTCTTGCTGTGAGGTGATTGTGCTACCCATTGCGCCACCGTGCTGCCCTGTCTTCATAAATAAACTAATTAAATAATTTAAACTCAAAATAATCTTCCATGTTTATTTGACAAGTAACTGTCACTTCTAACATTCAAGTACATCAAGGCACATTTTTACACGTTTAAACTTTAACAGATGAAGTTGAAGTTAACTTTTTTTAACACAAATAAAACACAAATAATTCTTCTGAAGTCATAAGTATTATTTCTTGCAGATTATTTCTTGAATAAAAGCAGTTTTTAATAATTTAAAAAAAACTATTTTAACTCTGTTTTTGTTAATTCTATTTTTGATATTAGCCTCCTTAAGAAATTTTCACTGTATAGTTTTTGATTGTCTACACAACATACAAGTTATTCAATAACTTGACTAATTATTCTAACTTTCCTTGTAAACATAACCTAGTTAAGTCTTTAAATTACACTTTAATCTTAATCAAAGACTATAGAATACTTAAAGGGACTTTGTCTGTATACAACTATCTTGCTAAATAATTTGTAAAATATTATGCACAGACTGTCACCATGCAAAAGATAAAAAAGTAGTTATTAGAAATTTGCTAATTAAACTATTATAATTAAAAACGTGGCGGTTCATTCCGCTGTGGCGACCTCAGATTAAAAAGAGACTAAGCCGACAAGAAAAATGAATAAATGAATGTTGAAAAACGTGTTGTTAAAAATCATGTGTTTGAAGACTTGTGCGTTATGTCACGAGTAAAATCAAAAACGAATGAGGGCAAAATTAAACGAGTTGAATATTATTTTTACATGAGCGTGATTGAAAACTGGATCAAAGTTTTACATCTGTTCTCTGGTACTTGCCGACTATTTGTACGTTCAAGACTGCATTTGGGGTTAACTTCGGACGAATGCGGGGAACTGGAGTGCGCAGCAGAGCGAGAGAGCGCAAAAGCAGAGAGATATCGCATAAGACTAATTTTATATATCCTATTTTTAAAGAAAAATATGGTGAATCTCCAGAGAATGATCTTTATTTGGCTAATTTATCATTTCGGTTGAAAGCTCAGTTATTGAGCTAATCACTCACAAGAAACAAATACTCATTCAGGACACACTCTGTATTATTATTGTCCTCACACACACAAGCAAGCCACAGACAAAGATGTTACATGATGATGCACTTAAATATGTAAAACATTCGCCACTACTGCAATTCCTCCTTGAACTGAACTTGTTACATTAATAAACCCCACACCTGCGTTTACAGAGTGAGCTAAATCGGGATGGCTGCAAGTGACGTCACTCCTCATCGCTGACATCACACTGTGGGAAGAGGAGCTGAGGATTTCTATAAATGCACTGGCACCTGTGAGTCCTACGAGTCCAACCAAGGCCATGCGAGCAAACTTAAGAAGTAAACCAGAGACTCTGTCTTAAATATTTCGTCCACCGCACTCTGCACAAATGGAAAAACGAAGTGTAGACTTTGCGGAGCCACTTGTCAACCTATCCTACATCAACGACTCACTGCTGAATGTGTCCGAAGTTTTTGTGAATTTCTCCAACAGTTCCTCTCGTGCTTTGAGTCTGGACTTTCGCTCTCTCGTCACTTCGGCCACTATGTTTGGCGTCGGAGTCCTCGGAAACCTTGTAGCTATCGTGGTGCTTTGCATCTCCAAGAAAGAGCAGAAGGAGACCACCTTCTACACTCTGGTGTGCGGGATGGCCATCACAGACCTGCTGGGCACCTGCTTCACCAGTCCGGTTGTCATCGCCACTTATATCGCGGGCAGGTGGCCGGGTGGAGCGCTCCTGTGCCATTTCTTCTCCTTTTCCATGCTGTTCTTCGGGTCTGCTGGGATGTCTATTCTGTGCGCAATGTCCGTGGAAAGATATTTGGCCATAAACCACGCGTACTTTTACTCTCAACACGTGGACCGGGCTATGGCTCGGTTTGCGCTGATGGCAACCTATCTGGCCAATATCGTGCTGTGTATCATGCCCAGTTTTGGCTTCGGAAAGCACAAGAGACACTTTCCGGGAACTTGGTGCTTCTTGGACTGGCGCGCCATGGACTCGGTCGGCGCCTCGTACACGTTTCTGTACGGTGGTTTCATGCTGCTGCTGATCGCCGTTACAGTCTTGTGCAATTTCGCCGTGTGTCGTTCACTCGTCGGGATGAGTAAAATGAGTCGGATGGTAAGAGCAGAGGTACCCGGACACGCAGGGTCAAGGCGCGGATTCAGGTTAACATCTGCAGCGGAGATCCAGATGTTCTGGCTGTTGATATTAATGACTATTGTGTTCCTGATATGCTCCATCCCTTTAGTGGTGGGTGTTCTGCATGCTTTTCGTTATGTTTGAGCTGTAGATTAGATTGATAATCCTAGTCATGCTGCTGGGTTATAAACTACAGTTTATTCATTCATTATTTTCCTTCGGCTTAGTTCCTTTATTTATCAGGGGTCGCCACAGCGAAATAAACCACCAACTTATCCAGCGTGTGTTTTACACCGCGGAAGCTCTTCCAGCTGCAACCCAGTACTGGGAAACATCCTCACACACGCACACATACACTATGGCTAATTTAGTTTATTTAATTCGCCTATACTTCACCTTTTCCTTTTAAAAGTTCATCTAACAAAGAAAATGTGGGTTTCTTTTTTTACGTTTTAAATGCAAAGAGACACAATAACATCTGTTAGACGTTTGTCACTTTTTTCATCATCTTTATTTTTCATTCATTCATTCATTCATTCATTCATTCAATTAATCATTCATTCATTCATTTTTTTCGGCTTAGCCCCTTTAGTAATTTGAGGTCGCCACAGCGGAATGAACCGCCAACTTATCCAGCACATGTTTTATGCAGTGGATGCCCTTCCAGCCGCAACCCATCTCTGGGAAACATCCATACACATTCATTCACACACATACACGATTTAGCCTACCCATTTCACTTGTACCACATGTCTTTGGACTGTGGGGGAAACCGGAGCACCCGGAGGAAACCCACGGGAACGTAGGGAGAACATGCAAACTCCACACAGAAACGCCAACTGACCCAGCCGAGGCTCGAACCAGCAACCTTCTTGCTGTAAGGCGACAGCGCTATCTACTGCGCCACCGCGTCATCCATCATTCATTTAAATTTGAATAATAATAAACACACACAAAGTTCCTCCTGACAGAAACAGATAAAAACATCAATGTGAGTTTCAAATGAAAGGGAATTGTGTGATACAAAATATAACTATGTTTAAAAAAAACTGCTAAATACCTGTTGTTCAGCAATGTTAAATAATTTATTAATTTTCTTTGAATGAAATGTGTCATTCATTCAAATACCTCACTCTCCTTAAACAAATCTCAAAAACATACACTAGTCATATTTCTCTTAATCTATATTACCTCATTTTATATGAACGAGCTTTTCAGTCCAACATAATCTCACGAGAATTGATAACCTTTTGATTTAGTGGCAAATTTGTATTTAATTCATCCCACTCATTCATTTTAGTGTCATCCCCCATTGAGTAGTGTGTTCAGGGGTAGGGTTTGCCTCCTTTTAAAAATCTCAATTCAAATTAAATCATATAAGTTAGTACAAAAATTAGTATTATACAGTATGTAAAATAGTGTCATTTCTTTGTGAGATTGGGCTGATTATGATAGGGCAGTGTGATTTAATCGAGGTGATGTTCATGTGCATTTTGTCAGTAAAGCCACTCCAGGTAAACACATGCATTTAGATGGAGCACATGCTGGGTTATAAACAGCTGTTTATGACCGTGATAATTCTTTTCCGAATCAACCTCAACATCAGTTTAGTTTAATAGCCTGTCTGGAAATCAATTACTGCCTTCATTAGTGTGGTCATCATTAGTTCAGTATGAGAATCAGTGGCATCCCAGACCTCAAACAAAGCAAATAAACCAATATAATGAGAGAGCACTGACAACATTCTCTAAATTCATTGTATTCACTGTGATTTCAAAACAAAATATGCCTTTGCTGGTCATGATAACAAATGCTTTTATTTGTTGATTGATGTTGTACCCCAACATAGTGGGACTTTGCAGTTTGTTTGGAAATGAAAATTGGGTCGATGTCAGAACCCAAAGTCAGGCGGATGTCAATGTCCAACGTCGGACAGATGTCATATTTTGGTTATTTCCCAATGCAACCTAAAAACAACCAAGTATCAACATCTAATGATGTTACAGTTTGACATTATGTGGACATTACCACTATGACGTCTGTCAGACATTAGATTTTGGTTGCCATATCTGTCAAATAAAAGTCAGTATTTGACGTCAATATGATGTTGGTTGAAGATGTTGGCTGGACAACGAATTTTGGTCACTTTTCAACACAACCTAAAATCAACCAAATATCAACGTCATTTCACGTCATTATTAGATGTCCAAATAACATTGTCCACAGATGCTGGTGACCTAAATCAAACCTAATATTAATGTCTTATGACATAGTGTGTCTGCTGGGTCTTCAGAAGTCTAAACATTAGAACTGTTTTGTCTAAAAACAGATATATACATGTCTTAAAACATGGCATGTTTTTTAGAATTTAAAACATATAATTTCAATGCTCTAAATTACATTTATTATTTTAAATAGGGAAGAAATGTAGTTAGCAGAATAAAATAAACATTATATTTTACACAAAACACTTGCAAGAAGTCTGTTTTGCATAACTTCATCATGCACTTTCAAAGCAGTTTCACCTTTTCTTGAATCCCTGAGCTGTGTTTTTAATAAGTGTTTATCTGTACTATTTTAGAACTGTCAGAACTATCTCTACCACTGTAACAGCTTTTGCTGTTACGTGAAAATGAATGAAAGAGTGTCACTTCACAGCATTAGATCTTCACATTGCTTTCCATTTCCTTTTTTCACCTTTTCTATTTTGACAGTACCGAGTCTCCCCAGCTCACACGTCTCTGTTGAGCTTATTAATGCAGTATAACACACTGTAAAAAAGTTATATGAACAATTAGTCCTGGCAGCAAATGTTTTTAGGTCATTGTAACTTATTAAATTAATCCTCTTCTAACCTAATTTTATAAGTTACGCAAGCTGTTTTAAGGCAGTTTAACATAATATAAGTTCAGTGGACTCAAAAGGTTCATTTGATTCAGCGTAAAAATTTAAGGCAACCAATATTTTTTACAGTGCAGTTAGGGGTGTTCAGATTAGTCACTGTGGAGTTTGTATAGCGCTAACTGACCGTGAATCCTTATTGATTTTATAGTGTCGTGACCTTTTTTTGTGACCTTTGGACGATATTTCTGTTTAATTCACAGGTGCGCATCTTCGTCAACCAGCTGTACGATCCTGCTTATATTTCCTCAGGCAAAAGTCCAGACTATCGCAGTGATCTCCTGGCTATACGATTCGCCTCCTTCAACCCCATCCTGGATCCATGGGTTTATATTCTGTGCAGAAAAAATTTGTTAACCAAAGGCTGTGCGCGACTCAAGCGTACCATCAGACACAGGAAAGGGGATCACAGTCGTGTTTTGGGTTGGACGGATGGTCAACACTCACCTCCATCGTTGGTACAAAGCAACTGCACCAGTTACGCGTCACTACGCACAGCAATCTGTAGAAATGACGTGGGTAAACAGAACTGCATGAACACTAAATCTTATCTAGACTTAACCCTTCGCCAGGCGTGGGACTTTGATACAGCTCTCGCTCAGTTTCATCCTTTCAGTGTCGAGCAAAACACTGTAATGGGTTTTGATGAAGATGAAGCAACATCAAGTCCCAAACTCATCGCCAAGACTGTTATGGCATTACCAGCCACTCAAATATTAGAGAATAAAGCTGAAATAGTGACCTGCACATTCAGTACACCTAGTTCTTGTCTATCAGAAAAGTGCATGAGACAATGACCTAGACGTCAATTTAGATTTCTTCTGTGAAGCACTATGAGAGAAAAAAAGAGACATTTGTGCTTTAGGTAACATTCACAAATAATTCTGTGAATTTGCTTAATTTTGAACTGGATTGATCCGATTTTAGGATTAAACCATAAACGGAGGCACTTGTAATGTCTGTTTTGACATGAATGTGTTTGATGTGTGGTAAAGGATTTGATGCTTTTTCTTCAATACTGTGCCATGTTGCATGCTGGGTTTTACTTGTAAAACTGTGAATAATTTATTAAAGGTGCAATTTATTTTATCACAACCAAGAGTACAACTGGCCTACAAATGTCCACTTCAGCAATCTTAATATTCTTGAATTCTTAAAAAAAGAAATGCAGCTGGAAATATGTGTAGTCTTTCTGATTCGCTCATTCATTCATTCATTCATTCATTCATTCATTCATTCATTCATTCATTTACTTTTCGGCTTAGTCCCTTTTTTAATCCGGGATCGCCACAGTGGAATGAACTGCCAACTTATTCAGCACATGTTTAACACAGCGGATGCCCTTCCAGCTGCAACCCATCTCTGGGAACCAGTCTTTTAGATTCAATAACAAAAATGAATTCAATTTAGCAGAAATTCACCCACAAATGGTCAACAGTGCTCAGCATATATAAGTACACCTCTTACAAATCTATCTCCTAAATTCATCTTTATAATAGGAATCTATACAATATTATATATTTGTGCAGATACATTTGATTAATCAGTATTGAAGTATATTTGTTGAAATTTTGTAGTTTTTTTTTCTTTTGCAATATTTTGCTTGGATTTAATTGTATTATCTTTCAATTTCTAAATATGTTTGGTGACTAAAACATTATTTTAATAAATATATCTGTTTAATAAATATGTTTTGTTTAAATACACCAAAATACATTTCTATATTCACTGAAAATTGGATAAAAATGTTCAGTTTCAAAATGGGGTGTACTCAATTATGCTGCACTGTACATATGAGCCATGCATCTTTTGCCAGTTTAGTTACTTTATAAACATTTGTTAATATTTAAATTGCTTTGATTTATTTAAATATATGACTAAAATAAAGCATATAATACAATTATTACACGATATTTATTATTCTATTTATGCTAAATTATTAGTGTATGTATTTATATTAATGTTTTGATATTTAAAGCCATCAACCTATTGTATACAGATGAAGTCAATCATTATGCCCCCTGAATTATTAGCCCCCGGTATATACTTTTTTTCTAATTTCTGTATAAGGGAAATAAGATTTTTTTTTTTTACATATTATTAGACATAATAGTTTTAATAACTAATTTATAATATATATTTTATCATTGCCATGATATATTTGCCACTAGATATTTTTCAAGATACTATTCAGCTTAAAATGCAATTTAAAGGCTTATTTTTTACTTAATATTAAAGTTGATTTTTAGCCACACCATGTTGGTGTTTTTTAACATTTGTAACTTAATTTTTTACTATGTGGGTCGTTAGCACAACACTCAACCCCCAATCTTGAGGACCAGGACATACACACATACACTAGAGACAATTTATCTCACCCAATTCACCTATACCGCATGTCCTTTGAAATTACGGGGGAAAACTGAGCGTCAGAAGATAACCCACGTGAACATATGGAGAACATGCAATCTCCACACAGAAATGCCAAAAATTTAAAGGCTTATAGGGTAATTAGGCAAGTCTTTGTTTAACAGTAGTTTGTTCTGCTTTTATTCCAGCCAAAATAAAACAAATAAGAATTTCTCCAGAATATTTTTCAGGTATACTGTGAAAAATGTCTTGCTCTTTTAAACATAGTTTGGGAAATATTTAAAAAAGAAAATTCAAACGGGCTAATCATTTTGACTTCAACTGCATACGTGTGTAGGTTTTTTTTCTTTTTTAATTTTTTAAGACATTTAAAGTCTATTGGTTTTGATGGATTTTCAGTCAAGAATCAAGACATAATCAATCATTCTGCAAGAGTGAAAACAGACACCAAATTAGAAATCTTGTGAGATGTGTTTTGCAGTGTGTGTTTTGTCAAGATCACAAAAAGATTTGAGTAGTGTAGTAAAGAGATTCCCATATGGAATCTGTGTTGATTTTTGAACCTGTCATTTAATCTATTTATTCACCTTTGTAAATGTGAGTAAATATATAATTATCTATCAGTTTTTAACTTGAGTTTTAATCATATTATTGAATGATTTGCAAATGTTTAGATCATTTTGCACAATATAAATATTTAAGTAATATTTTTTTTTACTTCTAATGGATGGATTCTGTCTGGCTATTATTTTTTTACTATTTCTGCCACATGTTTTAAGCAGCAGATTCCCTTCCAGCTGCAACCCAGTGCTGAGAAATACCCATACACTCATATTCACACATGCACTCATACACTTTGACCAATTTAGCTCAGCAACCTTCTTACTGTGAGGTGACAGTGCTAACAACTGAGCCACCATGCCGCCCTTGCTATTACAATATAAAGCCTATTACTAATTGTTTTTATTTGTTTTCGTTAATTGAATGAAGAACATAAAGTATATGTTTATAAGGGTAAGAGTATTTGCACACACCTTTGTCACCCATTTTCTGGGTTTCTTCTTCCACCAAGCACGAATAAATGCCTTTGGCCAGTATTTATTATCTACTGTTTTTCGATTTTTGATGAAAATACTGTATTTTAATTGCACCAAGAGGATATTTTCCTACAAGGCAGCTTCAAAGTACAATAGCATACCATATACACATACATACATACATACATGCATACAGTACATACATACATACATACAGCTAAATACTGTAATTTACAATGAAATACAAAGCCCTTCTTCAAGCCCTTGCTTTGTTTAAGTGATACTATACTGTAAACAGAGTGGTCGGTCTCATATCACGCCAACATGCATTAAATATTTAAATCCATTAGCATGCAGCAGTTTTTCCTTTAAAATCAGTAGATTTTGTCAGTAAGCTGGAGGAAAAACTCAATGTGGGTGTTGTACATAAAGCTGAGGCAGAGCTACCTATAACGATCACAGTAAACTGTATTTACTTTGTAGTAGCACACTGTTCTGTTATACTGTAATACTTTTCAACCTTGTCTTTACATTTTTAACAAGTGGTCAATTATAATTGCATCAGAATATATTTTAGATGACCAAAGTGATTCATTCTAATATTAGTGTAACTTATATGGTTTATAGGTGTGCATACACCTTGCAAAATATGCAAAATGTTAATACTTGTAAGTTAAAAGGATCGTTAAATGGATTTATTTAGTATCTGTCACATAATGCTCATAAATTCAATAGTTTCCAGACACAGACTTGTATTTGCAAGCTGAGACTGCATATTTTAAACTTGCAATGTCAGACACAATGCAATTAATAGAGCTTTAGTGACATCACTGTGAGGGGTAGGATTAGGTGTGGGTGTTAAAGGCATTGCATGTAGCTCAGCTTGCAACTCCAGCAGGTCCATAAATTAGTTATACAAAATATCTAAAAATATTATGGGTGACAGTGGCTCAGTGGTTATCACTGTCTTCTCACACCAAGAAGGTTGCTGGTTCGAGTCCTGGCTGAGTTTGCATGTTCTCCCTGTGTTGGCGTGGGTTTCCTTCAGTTGCTCCGGGTTTCCACCACAGTCCAAAGACATGCGCTATAGGTAAATTGAATGAACTGGCTAAAGTGCATGTGTGTGAATGAGTGTAAATGGCTGTTTCTTAGTACTGGGTTGCAGCTGGAAGGTCATTCGCTGTAAAACATATGCTGGATAAGTTGGCGGTTCATTCCACTGTGGCAACCCCTGATGGATAAAAGGACTAAGCCAAAGAAAATGTACAAATACTCAACAAAATAAAATAACCCATATAAAAATGATTTTGGCAGATGATATCCATTCCTGCCACCAAATTTGGACTAAAATGCTATTGTTTATTTATTTTTTTAAAAACAATTTTTTTTAACATGGTTAAAATAAAATAAATTTAAAAAAAAAAAAAAAAGTTTTTTTGGTCACTGTTTTTATAGTAAGTTGCAATAAATTTTCACAAGGGGCCGTATGTATTTCATTATTAGTTTGTAATACACGTATAAGCCGTCCGCCAATTTTGCAACTGTCAAATCAGGTGGAACCCATGAGAGAGTATCGTGGGGGGACATACACACTTTAATCTTATTTAGACCGTTTACAGTGATTTTGTGCCAACAGGTGGCAGTATAGGGCTAAATTATGGCGCTACATTGATTCTATGTGGAATTACAGTGACACTACCGTGTCATTTTGTGCTTTAATGACTTTGGAGGGAAATTATACCTTACCTTACAGATCACACCGATCCCAAGCCTTCATTAACACACAAATGGAGGTCTTGGCCTCAGCGTGTCTATTGATTTGAGAGCTGTGTGGGAAAACACGTCACTCTTGGTACAGTAGCTCATTCACTTTCATTATATGGGAATATGCAAGATTAGCCTTTTTCCCTTCTTCTCCTTCTTTCTCCTCAACAGACTTCAAGATTTATGACAACATGAATATGAGTAAAAGAAGGCAGAAGGAATCATTTATTTGGGGATTAAATATTCATAAATATTCTTGCATTTTTCTTATTAGTGCCCCCATGTAAATTATGTAAATGTCAGTCTGTTTTTTGGATGAAACAGCTGTGTAAACTGCTTCTATGGAATTTTTTTTGACGCATGACGGTATATTTTATGACCCTTCATTAACACGAATGGAAGCCTTGCAGTCAATGTGTATTGATTTTTCTGCTGCTGTCTAGTCAAACATGTTTCTCTTGGTTACTGTATCTGGCAGGATGTGAAATGACTGTCTTGCTGAATGAGATATGAAGAACACTTATTGTTAAATGTCACAGAGGTCACCAAAATTATGTTTTCCCTTAAAGTTGTTGTTTATATGTAGAGTATTGGCTATTGTTATTTCTGGCTATTACACTGTCAGA